CTTAGTGATTCTGTGATTCTGTGATAAAAGTATCATGTCTAACAGCAAGGACATGAAAAAAAGTCTATGTAGCATTATATAAAGCTAGATTACAATTTTCGAAATAAATTCACTCAAAGGCTTCCTCACCAATTTACAAAATTAATTTCAGCTTCACTGGAGTTATAAACATCAGACTTTCCTGCAGGCAAAGCAAAGGTTTACTTTTCCATGCCTTACATTGAACTAAGTTCAATCCCTTGACAGCTCTATAAGGTACAAAAGACTAGAAAGCAGGACAGACCCATATCTAGTGTAAACTAATGTAGGTTTAGTGAAGTTGGTGGGGCTGCACAAGTTTATTTGGGCTATACATTGCTCGAAACCAGAATTATCAACAAGTTCTTCCTATAAAACAGATATCCTATATGGGAGAGTTTTCATTACAATACTAAAGGCACTTCCCTTTTCTGATTTTTTTTTTTTTTTTAATAATCTGAGGTTTTTCTGGACTATTATAAGTCTGTCATACAGTTTACAGGAAAATCTTACATTTAAAATTATTATTATGCAGATTCTGTTGTTACCTTGGTTCAAGGACTAATAAACAAAATGTACTTTTGCCTCCACAAATGTGATTAGAAGTTTGGTCTTCAATTCTACAAGCATCTTAGTAGTCCAAGTGACAAACTTGAAAAGGAGTTGTTAGAGACCAGACAAGCATCTTTCAGTGTTCAGCTGAAATCATATTTCAATTGGTTGTATTTTCAAGACTGCTGAATTTAAGAGTGGCCATCCTCCTGTCTGTGAAGACTCTTAGCTCTTGGCTGAACTTTCAAATAGTGTTTGAATAAAATACTCACCCACTGTTTGGTGGTTCCATTTTTCACAGATGTGTTAATGCTTTTTCAATTACAGTGGTATTTGTGATTAGCTTTTCCCCAAACTTTTGTGGAATTTTATGCATTTTGATAGTGTTGTATATTTAGATTTTGAGTTTAAGCCTCAAGCAGAAAGTGAAGCCCCAACATGGGGGTGATGAAGCAAGGCCCAGTATGATGAGGGGGAAATTACTCTGTCAACTGGCACAGATCAGTTTTTCATAGCCTTTCTTAATTGCTTGCTGTTCCTGGAAGAACCAGGCGGAGTATACCCCACAGAAAAGAAACTCCATGCTTAGAAATGTAAGTCAGGGCTCAGAGTCTATTGATTTTTATGGAAGTTAGAAAGAGCTAGCAGCACCGTAAAAAACTAGCAGAAGGTAAACCCACATTTCCGATTAACCTGAAATTTCCTCCTTTTAAAATCAGCGAATGAAGCGATTCGTGCCTTTTGCAAGGGACTTTTCTTTTCAGCATCGAATAGACCTTCTGTTTCAATTAAAATATTAGTTCACCTAAATCTTATTCACGTTTTTTAGATCTTCCACCACCACCCGACCCGCCCCCCGGTCAGGGTTTAAGGCAGCAGATAGTCCCCGGCCAGCGCGGCGGCTCGGCAGAGAGGAAAGGAAGCTCTCTTGAGAGGCAGCATGCGCCGAACCTAGATGAGACAAAGAGCTCCCTGGACCGGCAAGCTAGGACGTCACTAGAGTGGCAGCGGCAAACCCAGGAGTGGATAAGCTCTACAGACCGCCAAGAGGATTTCAGGAAAGCCCAACACAAACAAGCCTTCGGATCAGGTGCGTGTGTGTGCCGCACCGGCCGAGGCAGCGCAGACGGAGCCGGGGACCACCGCACGCCCCTCGGTGCCAGCACCCCTAGGGCTCAGGCTGGGAAATGAGAAAAGGCGAAGTCAGATGAGAGCTCCTCATCCCAGGGTTTTCCCTCCTGCAACGATGAAACCCCAGTAGCGCCTGACTCGGTGCATTCTTTACGGCGTTTTGGCAATTGATGAGGTTGTCAGCAGATGAAACAGGAGCGGTTTCAGGCAGGCAGGGAGGGAGAAACAGATTTTTAGAGCATTTTCTGTTAGATGTACTTATTTATACGTTACAGGGCCGTGTTTTCTAGTTCTTCCAGCCTGCTTCTAAATTGGCGGCAGTTGTTTTTGCATGTCTGGAAGAGGGATGATTCTTCTGAGCTACTGACATTCCTTCCAGCTGTATTTAAAACACTGCCTTCTCCTTATTCAAGGATGTGACAAATTAACATTCATTTCTTAGGCCCAGCAAGATGACAGTGCAGGTTTTTACCTTTATATAGGACCTGCTCATTGCCCAGGGCTGACTTTATCTCCTAAATGGATTTCAAGCCTATAAAAATGTGTGCAGGAGGCGATGCTGAGCTGGAGCTGTAGTTCTACAATTTTGGCAGGTTCCTTCTCTCAGCCTGACCTTAAGTAAAAGCCGCTGTTTCAGGTCCCCTTACCAGGGTATTTTCTTTAACCCGCTAATCACATGTTATCCCCATGCTGATTAGAGTGATAAAGAGGACAATTAAGAAGATTTTAAAAAAATAATAATTATCCTGTACATGGAGCTTTCTGTAGGACTACACTGTTTCTTCAAGTATGTATGTAGCTCCCACAGTAACACTAGAGGTACTCATATTACCCATCTTTTTCTCAATTGTATTGTACTGTTAATGCTCCTTGTTAATCTAGCACACTAATATCAATGACATTCTTAAAAAAAAATACTAGTGTACAGGCAAACCTGTCATGGGGGGCAGGATTTACTGAAAAGTCCTCCTAGGAAATATTGCTACCCATATTTAAAATTTAATGTTTTAAATACAATCCATATTTTAAAATGTAACGATAATGGTGCCATTAAAACCCCCTAATCTTTCATCTGCATAAACAAGTGAGTGGTTGTTCATGTTGTGAAATGATGATGTGAAGTCGCAGTTTAAAAATAGTATGTGAAATTCATGCTACTTGGTGAATGGCAATTTCAATGTACGAGATGTACAAACACAGAGAAAATAGCCCAAATATACTTTATATGTCTCATTTCTTTGTAAGTTATTATTAAGGATGCTTCTCTGACCTGGTTAGCAAGAACTCCCCTCCTTTTCCTCTGCTTCATAAGTCTACAAATAGAAGTTGTCAGTTATTCTGTGATACAGAGAGTATAGAGTAGTAAAATTCCCATCCTGCAGGACTTGCATTTATCCGTCCTTATATAAAAAGAGCTTGATCTTGACACTTCCAGTGCCCTACACAAGCATTGAATTTAGGGCTGGAGTGATTACATGTATCTTGTTCTTGTCAAATTCAGGATGACCACAGCAATTGCGTACTCTTTGTGCATGACAAAGGATTCTTCTAGGGGATACTACGGTTTTACCCCGGGCGGGGGTCATAAGGTTTGTGCACGAGGTGGGCCAGAGCTTCATATCCGTCTGGCTGCGTTCTCATCCCAGCTCATTGCACTACAACTTTCTTGCTTGTATTATTTTCTCGGGTAGATTTAAAAAAGGCTACTCTTGTGTGTGATGCTTGTTTATATTACTAAATTTGGGTGGTTTAGTAATATTAATTGTGCTTCTTCCCTTTTCCTTTATTAATGACAAAGAAGTCTGGAAATCTATGCTGTCCCACTTTTCAATATGTTTCCAAAAGGAGTAGTTATTAGTTAGTAGTTATTCTGGGAGTCAGTTCCCAGAAAATAGCTATTTTGCTGCTTAGGGGGCTTCATTCAGACATTAGCAAGCTGTGAGTGAAATTTTGAAAGCAAGACCTTTGGTTTTAAGTTGAGTAGAATAAAAATACATTATTTTGGGAACCACTGGTTGCTTTCAGTATAAACAAGATCACTGGGTTCCTGTCAATGGCTTCATTGTGGAACCACAGTTACAGCACATCAAATATGACATTCTCAGCTACTGCTCTAAAGAAAGTAGTGCTAGATCAAGTTACAATAGTTTTGATAATATTAAAAGCCTTTTGGTTATCTTACAGGGTATAGAAACATCGTTTCACATATATATCCTGATTTTACAGGGGCTAGAATTATGTCTTCAAATTAAAGGCTCAGTATTTCAAAGAGAAAGGCATCAGCAAAGCCTCCCCATATTCTTTGCAGGCCTGGGGCCTGGGGCACTGTTTTGAGTGTTTAATAAATGTGAGCCCATTCTAAGGACTTGAGACAACTACCTTTCATGTGCTAGAATGTTGTGAAAAACTTAGCCTTTATTTTATGTCACAATCACTTATTTTATGGATTGCATTTATTTCTGAGGGCACAACAGATAATTTAACACACCATATGTTCTATAATGATAATGCACTTTATATTTATTCGTGGTTTTTTTTTCCTCAATATTTCATTGAACACGAAGGAGGCCTTATCCTGAGTCCACAAACTAGAAAAACAAATCAATTGACCATATATGTCATCTCCAAACTCTTTTGCAATGCTAGTGACTTTTCTTTCTATCCTTTAAAAATGTATCCAGCTTTCTGCTCAACTGATTTATGTTGCTTGCTTTATTGCTGCCTTAATGCAAGCTGTTCCATATTTTAGCCAGCCTTTGGAAACCAGGTTTGCATCTGATTCTATTGTTAGGGCTTGATATAAAGAACAGGTAACATAATTTAGGAGGCTATGGCTGTTAAATGCCGTTTTACTACGCCTTTTAAGCAATTCTTTATATTTTGGCAAGGGCAGCACACAGTCGTATCACAAAACACTGATAATGCCCTCACGTCCTGCGGCGTGAATGTTCCGGTCCCTTGGGCAGGGCGGGAGGGAGATACTTTGGCAGAGGAAGAAGTCAGCAACGGATTTACCTTACACACGGGTTCTGTTCAATAGCAGGTTGCATGGGGAATTCCCATGTCCTACTCACTGGTGGCAGTAGGCACAAAGAACGAAATCCTGGGTTTCTTCCACAAATTTATTCTCATTTAGCATTTCCCCAAGTTAATTGTGCCTCTGCTGCAGCCTTTGCAAAGGCTTCAAAATTGTGAATAAAAGCATTTTTATCTCCTCTTTCTTTCCAACCATCCCCACCTACTTTTCCTTCTGTGTTCCTGCCCGCTGTCAAAGAAAGTCTGTTTCTCTTCATCAGATTGTTTAAGAGTGAAGACAATGGGAAAAGCAAAATAAAAACCAATAAACCAAAATAAAAAGAAAAAAAAACCCTTTCAGCCCAGATTCACTTTAAAAAATGTAAGATTCAAGGAGGAGATGTCCCACTGACTTCAGCAGGGGCAATTCCTGTGTTTGAGATTAAGCATATATACTCATATTCTTTCTTGAATCAAACTATATTTACCAAGATCTCTTTCTTCAGCTTGAGACAGCAGAGGTGGATCATGCACAGCAAAGAAATAAACTAGTGCTTCTACTTTGGTGTTAAATCACTGCTGTTGTTTTGCTTCTTAGGTTAGCATTATTACAACAATGTCTCCTGGAAACTCTAATCAGATGTGATGTCTTGTTTTACTTCATGCTATATGAAGACATATAGTCCTGTGCTTTATTGGTACTAATCCTGCTCTCGCAAGCAGTTCATTATCACAGGTCTTCACAAAGGAAGAGGCCAAGTGAGCAAAAGTAAGCCTTTTGCTCATAATGGAACATGAAACAAGCTGCAGGAAGATTTACTCACCCCAAATAATACAACTATTAATAATATGTATAGTATAATATAATATTTTCCAATGTAATTCACAATCAGTTAAAAAAAATCTTTAGTGTACTTTGCATCGTTAGAAATTACTGAGCTTGTGGAAGCTAATTAAATTAGCTGATATTGTAGTTCTTTCTCTAAATTGATTGAGGTAATGTTACCATAATTTAAGCTAAAGAAAAGGAAAAAGCACATTCGTGTAGGCTTGAAGCAAAAATCTAATCATAGCTACATTGTTTTGGAAATTGTATGTGCATCTATTTTTATTAAAGTATCTATGATTCATGATCTATTACTTCATAATGAATCTAGACTTTTTATAATTAATACAAGCTAACTTGTGAGTTTACATGAAAGCAAGATTAAAGTCGTGCTGGTTTCTCTGCCTGTGGGGTACAACACTGATTTGCCTGTTCTCTTAGGTAAAGTTGCCATGCTACAAAGCAAGACAAAAGACAGATATCTGAGGGCAGGAATGAATATGATGTCCACATAAGAATAGCTTGATTATTCCTATTTATAGGAATTTATTTGGTATTTGTTTTGTTTTGTTTTGCTTTTCTAGAAGAGGCACTCGTACCATATAGTAAACCCAACTTCCCATCCCCTGGCGGCCACAGCTCTTCAGGAACAGCTTCTTCTAAAGGATCGACCGGACCTAGAAAAGGTGAAGTCTTGCGAGGAGGTCACCAACGCAATGCCAGTGACCTTCTCGATGTAGGCTATGTGGGATCAAACAGTCAAGGACAGTTTACTGGTGAATTATGTAAGTTCATCTCTAGCTACAGTTCAAACTCTCAAATAGACAAAAAGAGAAAAAATATAAATCTGTTGTGAAGACAGGAGGAAGTGGAGTGTGATAATCAGATTAAATTTTACCCAGGTCTTTTTGCATTCTGAGGTGTTTTGCCTGTGACGACAAACAAATGAAGTTCTGTTCTTTGGTTTGGACCAGTTCCAAATCTGTGTAAGCCACACCAACATTATCTGCATAGTGCATCTTTCAGTGTGTAATGCTAGTGAAACTCTGGGAAAACTGAAACGAAATTCTAGTAGTTTAGAATTTTCTTGGCAAAGTCTGGCGAGGCTTGTCTTGGAAGTGCCATTGGCAGTTTTTCTCAGAGGAGTGAATGAAAAGGGTGCTGAATTTTTGAGGCATGGTGGCAAGCTTGTGATACCTTCTCCTTAACTTTCTGTTGCTTGATGAGCAGTGTTCTGCTCTTTTTGACCTTAGATGGAGGTCTTCTTTTTTCAGCCGCGTAGCCCAGTTTTTCAGCTATATATCCCAACTCTTTCCTCAAATTCCCAGACCAGGAGAATTATTTTCCAAACATTTTTCTGTTATCACTCAATATCTGTTAAACCTTGTATAAAACCACATTAATGCTGTGTACATGATGGTAGTACTAGATGACAAAAGGTTTGACTTTGTCGTTTGAAGTAGCACATCAACATCCCAGCTAGCTCTGGCATACTGATATATTTACTAGTAAAAGCAATGTAGCTGTTGGCATTTCTGCCTCCTATTTACTGCAGTCAAACCCTCAATACCACCCAACAGTTACTGCCCAGTAGCTTGTAAGAGAGCTAACGGTGGTCCACAAACCCTGAAATCTCAGATATGGTGTTGGTAAGTGTTGAATTTTAGCATCCATCACTTTTCAACTTAGAAGAAATTAACTGTCTTCCCCCAACCTATGGAACATTCATCCTGTGCTACAGTAATATTCGCTATAGGCTTTGTTTTGTGTTTTTTTCTCCTTATTACAACCTCTCTCTCTCTTTTTCTTTCTCTCTATAGAGTAGTTGAGAAGACACATTGCAAGCTGCTCTGATGGACCATCAGGTCTGAACTCATGGAAGTGATGACACTAAACAGTGCAATGAACATTTTCTTTATTTATGTACTATTAAAAGAACTGTAAATGCAATGTAAAGACACACAGCCACACATATCCCACAGATACTTGTGTTCTTCTCTTTAATACACCATCCACCTTAAACTATTCCTTGTCAGGAGTATATAAAAAAGAAAGAAAAAAAAATCACCCTCCAGGATGAAAAGGATTTCCTTCTGTATATAATTTCTTTTGTTGCATTGCTATGCAAGCTCACCCTCTTTTTAGCTATGTTCATATTCATGTCTGTTTTTATTGGTCTGTTGTACTATATGTGAATTAATAGGCTGTGGTGCCATATATTAACTTTTAATTGTGTAACTTTTATGTTTAAAGTTTGCACTGCAATTTTATTTGGTGATAAGCACAAAACTCTACTCCTCATGACATGAAGAAAAAAGAGACTGAATGTGTGAAGGTTTACGTACCGTAAGCTACTTTGGATAATGCTGGATGTAAAGGAGTATGTTAGGTGGTTTTCCACTGGGGTGTAGAAATGAGAACGTGACAGGCAAAACTGATGTCAGTGAAGACATTAGAGACAGATTTAAATCTTTTAAAAGCAAGCGACCTAGTTGCTCTTTGTTTTAAGAAGGGGTCAGAAGTTGGAAGTGTGAGATTAAAGAGCGACTATGGAAAGTAAAGGTAACATGAGATGGCCTAGACCCTTTCGCTAGAATGATGCCCTTAGTATCTGTTTTTAGCCATCCCATGCCACTAAGTAAAGGGGAAGAAAAACCAACCTTGCTACAAACAAAAGAACTTAAGGTGTTTCACTAAAGCTGTTTTTATATTGCAGTTTTAAAAGAATTATTACCATTAATTTCTCCAACCCAAAATATAAGACAGAGATTTCCCAGGAGAAACAAACAATATAAACTCAAGGAATACCTTGAGTAAGTAAGTAGTTAAGGATGCAATTTATTATTAAGACATATTGAGGCTGCTTCCAAAAAACTGAAATGTCAGAGTATCGTATGTCATCTTTCCAGTACGTGTATGGTACAATAGAGGATAGAGCTGCACCACTGAAATTCATGACATTAATTGTTTTGATGCAGTCTAAACAAACCTTTCTCTGCTGTTAACTGAAGGAGCTGAACCTGGATCCACTAAATTTGTGGTATAATGTTTAGTGTTGGGAAGGAAAGTAATGGTCAAATTATTTTCGGCTTGCATTAAGTACATTTCTGGCAATACAATGCACTCAAAAAGTTGGATATAAGCAAAGAAAATCTTTGACCTGTGTTTTAGTGAGTGGCTTCAAACCCTACTATGATGAGGAAATTACGCATGTTTATACACTTTTTGAATAAACCAAACTCTGTAAGTGGACATTAATGACAGCATCCTGTCTCTTCATTAGTTTTCATGACTTTGTCCAAATCTTCTGTACCTCTCAAATCTCAGTGAGTAAATTGTCAAACTATTCTTAGAATATTGTATGTGGATAGCCCACTTATTTGATGCTTAATTTAAATATTGCATCCTGCAGCTTATTTCTGTTAGTTATCTGACCATGAACACAAGTTTCCATTTGAATACCCTTTTCGTATAACCAGTCTATGTTGTTTTATATATTGCCTTGGAGCTCACCAGTATTAAGAACACTTTTAGTAATGGCAGAATTTTAGAAAAGTAAATTACAATGCTAAATATATGTTGCTTTTCATTTCATTAACTTGTTCCATGATAAGATAAAACACTACAGACATCAACTGTAACTCAGCACTATTGAATATTAAAAAAATGATAGTTAACTTCATTAAGGTCAAGACTGTTATTTAGCAGGTTACAAACCAAAAAAGTTGAGGAAAAAAATGTATGCGTTTGTTTATATATGTGACCAATGAATATATGTAACTTTCCTGCTTGTTAAACCATTATAGTTAAAACCATTACTTAAAAAATGTGCAAAAATGTTCAAGCAAGATAAAAAAGGCATCATATTTACATATGTATGTTTTTTATTTTGGCATTATCATATGAAGAGACTATTCAGGGTACAATTCAAATTTAATTCTGTGAAAAATGTTTAGGTCAGTCACCAGTAGATTTTTTTTTCCGTTTAATTCGAAAGGTTGTGCTGAGCTTTGGTGGAACACCTTACTCACTACCTTCTGTTCAAAATTCAGTATCATTAGACTTTGATAAAGCCATCCCAATTACTTTCAAATACGTGTTTTATCTCTTCCACTGGAAAGTAAATGTATGTCAGTATTAAAACTGTGCAGTACCATGATATTCACTAACTTGTCCATCTGCTTCTGTACATTTTTGTTCATTAATAATTTGCTTACAATATTACATAAGGTGTTGTTGTGTATCGCAAAGTGTCTCCATTATCTTACAGGTGATGTCTCTTCTTTTTCTTTCTCTCTCTCTTTTCTATACAGTGTACTTCCAATGAACCACAGTACATATTTTTTAAAATGCCATTTAATTTACTATTTTGAAAGAAGTATTCTTCTTTTTTTAAAAAAATTGAAAACATTTATTGTGAATAATGTGTTTAAAGAAAAGGGATGTTGTGGCAGCACTTAGAATTGTTTTTTAATTTGTTTTTTTTAAAAACTGTTTATTGGCTACAGTTTGTTCACGAAAAAGTATGACCTCTTAATGTGTTTCATTGGTATTGTTAGTGCAGCAAAGTTTAATTGGCATAAAAAGTTGGTTAATAGTACTGTTGAAGTGTGTATTGTATATTTACTGGGGAAAAAATAAAACATATTCACATTTCAAATCTATGTTAAAAGACCTTGAGTAAGGAGTCAATATGTGATAACCCAAACTGGGAAAATCAGGCAATAATAACATAGACTGAGCTATAATCATCACTGTCCACTTACAGTAACAAGGAACATTTTATACACTGATTTTTGAACTAAGCTAACAGCTGTCTTATAAATAGGCCAGTGGTAAACATTGTCTGTCATAGGGTTTCTGTTTAAGGTCCTGTCTATATTGGGAATAGATGTACCAATGTAATTACACTGATACAGCTATTCTAGTGATATATCCTCTGTTTGTAGACATCCTATCTCAACGTACAGTCAGGACCACAAGTGAACAGTTGCTTTGCTTAAAGCCCATAAAGTAGTGGACATGTAAAACCAGTGTTCAGTGGTTTTGGTCTTGGGGTTTTGTACTGGTGGAGCTACTGCCAACCCAGTAGAGAATATCCCCAGAACTCATAAATGATGCTAGGCCAATTTTTCTCAATCTGTACATTGACTATATGCTCAATTTTAAATACAGGAAGGCTGAAGGACCAACTAATAAATTGTTACATGTGCTTCAGTGGTGTATTGCTGTATGGGCAGCCATTTCAGTGATGCAAACAACAGACATCTTTTTTTTGTTATTTATTATTTCTTAAGTCCTTATCCAAGTCAGTAAACCTTTTGAGTAACTTTTGGTTGTCACCTGAAATACAACAGAAACACTGTTCCTTGGGGAAAATGCAAAAGGAAGACATGATTGTTTGAAAAAATAATACAGTGGGTTATGCTTCCCTCCACCTGTACATTGCCAGCCAGGAGAAAAGGTGTGTACTAAGGCTGAGAAAGAACCCTCACAACCGACAGAGGAAAGGTAATCAGGTTGGGGGAGATGCCAGCAGTAATTTTTTCCTTTTTTTAAAAAATACAGGCAGCTCCTTTGGCTTTTCTACAATTTATGCAGTTTGGGTTTTTTATGTTTAATGGCCATGTGGAAATTTAGCAGGGGAACTAGAAGGAAAAAAAGTTAGCCTTCTTTTATAAAGATTGGGGGAACTTCTTTGCTGAGGGGAGGATTTTTTAATTTCATTTTTATTTTTTTAACAGATGTTTTGTTCCGTCTATCGGGAACACGTTAGCTAAAAATAAATTATATTTGAAAACCATGTGGGCAATGGACAATTCATTTAGGAGGTACATTCAAACAGCAGGAGAGTTGGCAAAGAATAATACTAAAAAAGGAACACATACATTGCCTTAGAATCAGTCAAGTCCACCGCAGTTTCACATGTAATTCCGAACAGTTGATAATACGTATAAGCTTCATTGCTTTTGGGTTCCATACCAAAATAAATGACCCAAAGTCTGTAGGACGCCTCGATCCTTGGGCCACTAAATCTGGTGCATTACATGTGTGGTTGGTCTAACCAGTGGGTCTGGAGTATGCCCAGGGTGCACGAGCCCCCGGCCCCGGCCGTTGGCAGCCCAGCAGCCTCCAGCTGGGAAGCAGAGGTGGCTGCGGGCTCGGGGGGCTTCAGTGGATGCCTTCGCCGGGCACTTTGTCGGGCACCACGTATGTGGAGGCAGGGTGCTTCGCCCAGGATGGAGGTTTTCAAGGCAGAGGAGGTCCCCGGTGAGTTAGGCATTGTGGTGGTTCGCATTGTGGTGGTTCACATGGGGACCACTTAGTCAGGCGAGTCGCGGGTTTTGGGACTACCCTCCCCAGTCCGTGTCTCGGTGCTGTCCTGCTGTGGTCTGTGTGCTTGCGGCTGCTGCTGTCCCCTGGATCTGGGGTGCCTGGCACGGGGGGTGCAAGACAAGAAGAGGCGCGGTGGTGCTGGGGGGCACGTCATGCCCTGCATGCATTGAGTGGCTGATTAGTTAAGAGGGGACCAGGGAACGCAGTAGAGCGGTGGTCCTGAACATCTGCTCTGCTGTTTCTAGCTCGTTCCCTGCTTCTGTTTCAGACTGACCTCTTGCCCTGCCAACTGCTCTTCCACCCAAAATAACAGGTATGACTTAGAGACATCTCTTGGGACACAGAGGAGATGTAGGGCCACCCCTACGTGCTGTGAATGCAGGCTGGGGATTTGGGGGAGCTAGCTCTGAGCTCTGGTGTTGGCGTGAGGACTAGATTGGTCTCTAGCTTGCCCTTGTTTAACTGTGTAGTTATGGCCAGGAAGACCCCAGCAGCACATCTCAGCATTGCAGCATCTCTTCTGGCATCTCTTAGACCATCCTGAGTTTGATGCTGGTTTCTGACCGTGTCCTGAGGACTGAAGTGGCTTATGCTGACATTTAGGCAAGTGAGGTTGCGGCAGAATGAGAAAAAAAAAAAAAACCCACCCCAAAAGAACAAACCTATCACTTAAACACAAACTCTTAAAACAACCCTCAAAAAATCCTAGG